AACGGGGCATTTGGCGCTAGTGGGAAGGGACTTGGCCCAGGGCCAGCAGCAGCCGATGCCACCAAAATAAAACACACACACACACACAAACACACACAACACACACACACACACACACACCCCACACTCACTGCAGCGACTGCAAACTACTCGCCTGAGGGGGGAGGGAGGAGTGGGAACGGACTTCTGCTTCCCCCTTCCTTCCTTCCTTCCTCCCTTTCCTCATCTGCGGCCTTGGCATCCTGGCGCCATTGCATGGATGGGGCCAGGTTGGGCCAGGATGGCGGGTGGTGGATCCAGACAACTCTGCGCCAGGCTAACCCCCGAGCCAAACCTTCCCCGGGTGCATCATGTATGTACAGTACAGTACTAAGCACTTCAAAGAGTAGTGTAGTAGTAGTAGTAGTAGTAGTACCAAGCGCACTACTGGAAATCTTATGTCAACAAGGCAAACTGCACCCTCTTCCCTTCAGCTCGACGAGTCAACTGTGGTACAACCCTTGCCCTGGCCTAGTGCCGCCTTGGCAAGGTCTTGGCGGCTTGGCGACCTCTGCCTGGGGCTTGGAGGTCTTGGAGAGGCAAAAAGGGCACTAGGCCTTGTCTTATGTAAGCAGCAATTAGCATCAATCGCGCCGTCCTGGGCTGGCTGGGGAGCGGGTGGGGCGTGTGGGGCGCATGTGGGGAGCTGGTGGGACAGTATGGATCAATAATGGAGCTTGCTGGCTTAGTGCGGTAACTGTACCTTGGTTGGCTGATGACACCACAGAAGCTGCGGTTGTGTCTTGTGTGTCACGTTGAGCAATTAATATATAATTAAATAATCCAGTCGAGGATGTTTAACCTAGGTATGAGTAGGGTAGGGTAGCCACCCTCGGCAATCCACAGAAGAATAATAATGGCTGGCGTGATGCCACAAAAAGCTACTTAGCAAACTCTGGCAAATTATTCTTCTCACCCCACGCACGCGCGCGAGCGAGGGGCCAAGCTCCCGATACGGCGATGCCCAGCATTATTATTATTAAATGGATTCTGCAAACACCTTCCTGTAAAATTGATGTTTGGGGGCGTATTTAGTGCAAGCGATGTATTATTGCTGTTCATTGCGATGTTTCAGCACTACTGAACAATCACAGTATAGTATGAAGTAATTAAATCTGATTTACTCTGAATCTGATTAGATATGTAATTTAGCTGTAATATATACACCGCCATTACAAAAACAAAATTACAGGCAAGACTCCATTCTATTTAGCATCCTGCCATAAAGGGCCGCAATCTGGGCATTTAAACCTAGATAGGAAGGCGGGTGCATACTAAAAATCATCTATTATTATTACGCAGCGTATTGGTGTTTGATATTGAACCCTAGCCGCCTCCTTGTTCCTTGGTTCCCAGCAACCCATCAACATGGTAATAATAATAATGATATCCACCACTGATTCTGCCTGGTCCAGCTTTTTTATCTGATCATGAATGCATTTCGTCTCATTCTTCCCCCCTCGCACAAACCTCCGCGAAGAATAAATGCATCAAGGTCTAAAAAGGAGCATCCGAGCACTCAGCTTACTCATTCAGAGTCAAGAGGAACTTAAAAGGAAAATTCACTATTGTCAAACTCTATCTTCATCCCCCTATCATCATCACCTCGCACACATCATCAAGATCCAGGTTTGAAAAGAGCAAAAGAGGAAAAAAGGAAAAAGAAAAAACACGCAGACGCGCACAAACTGTGTGATAGGTGACAAGCCACACTCATCAAACACATCATTCATCAGACACCAATACGGGGGTACTTATTCCTATTCGTGTGGCTATTCTTCCGACAGAAATAAGCGCCAATCTCTAGGAGTCTTATTAGTTACATGTTACAAACATCCTGCTCGCAATCCTTTTAGCTCCCTCTTTCTTAGCTTCCCCTCTAGCCCGTCCCACTCCGACCAATCTGTTTCCTTTTTTTTTACCTTTCTTTTTTTTTCTCCTTCCGCTGACTCCCGTTAGCCGTGCCAAGAGGATGGGGCCTGCAAGCAAGCAAGTCTAGTAGTAATACGCAGTAATAGGCCCCAGGGTGTGCCCTGTCCAATAAAGCGGCATTAGTCAGGTGGTTTTCAGAATCATTCCCTGTGGGGGTTATATATGCAATTAAAAGCCGCGTGGAGCCGACTCTATAGGGGCTTGGTTAACCACCTAGCCAGCTAGCGGCTGGGCATGCATAAGCTCCGAACTACTAGTGAGCTTGGCTTCCAGTGGCCACAGCTCCCAAACTTATAGTTAAGGCCTTGGCATGCCAAGCCTGTTAGTTCGGCTTGACCCCTCTAACGCGGGGGGGCTTCTACCCCGTAGAAAGGTGGGTAATGCCAGCGCTGGGATTCGAACCTGCGCTTCTTATCACCGACGCCAGTATTAAAAGACGCTCAGAAATTCTCAAATTGAAAAGTATATCAAATCATTGACGAATATAAAAGAATTATATCTATTCTTCTTCTTCTTCTTCTTCTTCTTCTTCAATTTACAGATGTATGCAGTCAGAGGCTGACATCTGTCTGATAAAAATCGGAATTTTCCTAGTTACAAAGTTAAGAATATATATATGAAACCAGCATTTATATATACATCAATAAATATCAGAATCTCATCTCAGAAGCAAACAGTTACTCAAATAATCAATTTGAAAACCTTTTAAATCAATTTAAACAGCACTTTCAATCTAAATATCAAACAACTGTAAAGAAATATCAACAAATGTTCAATAACAAAGAAATTTCTCAGACAATATGAAAAGCTACAAAACAAAAAGCCCCCTGCAGTCTACACCTTAAGTTATATAATATACTTATTTTAACACTCTATATGACGGCTCATCTCAGGGGTTCTTAGTTAAAGCCTTTAATCTTCCAGCTGTCAATCTCAATAGCTTAACTGGTCAGGCCTCACTGACTCTAGGCACCCATCTCCAGGGAATTACTCCGTACAGCGTAGGAAATAAAAACCATCTGATTAAGGAATTTAGAGCACCCTTGAGCCCAGTGAGGACCGAAGATGAGATGAAGCCTAGGCACTCTGATTCGTGCAAGCAAGATCATGACTGTCAAATTGATAGACTGAAATCGACGATGATTTCACGATCCTGCAGGCCACCCTAGGACCCCCGAAGTCGAGTACTTGATCTCTCACTACTTGAGGACGTCATCGGAACTTCCTCCCCTCCCCTCCCCTCCCCCCAAGACGCGCGGGAATCGGGATTATCCGAACCCGTAGATCTACGCAGTAGGGCCAAGCGCCAAGCGCCAAGCCAATATGGCGCGAGCCATGTTGGGAGAGGGGGAGTCACCGAAGCCTACCTACGGAGTACCTACGATGCCAAGGGCCCGAATCAAGGCAAGTTACGGGTACGGGGCCAGCCTACGTAGCAGCGACAGACAGCAACAGGTTTGCAACGGGAACTCGAGTTGGCCCAGCACACCCCCTCCCCCCTCCCCCCCCCGGGTCCCTTTGCTGTACGTGTATGCACGCAATGCACCCCCCGTGTGGGTGGCGATCATATATATATATATATGTATCGCGCGCGACGACCGAGTATTATTATTGTTTTATGTATGTATGTATCTATGTATGTATCTATGTATGTACGATGCTTACGGGCTGCTGCGATGGGGGGCCCTTGACGAAGCTCTCTCGGGGGGTGGGATTCGAGCTCCTTACGCGTTAGCCAGGCAAACCAGGCCAGTGACAGGCAGGGTAAATGAAATGCATGCATGCAATGCCTGCCACTGCCACAGGGCAGACGGACGCGCACGGAAATTCTTACGTACATGGGACAGGCAAATAATAATAATAATAATAGACAGGTCTTGGTTCGTCACTGACCCGGGGGGGTTGGGTTAGCCAACAACGGAGTGTGTGCCGCTGATGGTAACCCAAGGTATTAACCCATTTATTATTAATAATATTATTATTATCCTCTTGGAGGCTTGGAGGCAGGGGCAGGGGTGAATCACCCGGTGGTTGGGGTGGAGCGTCGTTTAAGGTTGGCGCGCAACTTTGTGTGACTTGGGCGGCGGTTTCATGTCCAGGATGCAATACTAATACGATGCACGGCGTGATTGGGAGGGGAGGTAGGTTGATGACGACGAGTTAGAAAAGCCTGCTCTGGCGCTGTCCTCGGCGCAAGAGCTGGAACAGAACAGGAACAGCAAACTGGTGTTCGCCTAATAAGAAATCACGAGAGCTGTCACGATTTTTTTTTCCTATTTTTCTTTTTCTTTTTTCTTTTTCTTTTTTCTTTTTTTTTAAGAAACAGTCGAGGAGTGACAGAGATAGGATCGGTTGCAGCCACGGCTGACGGTACGGAGTAGAGTAGGGCCACAGAACAAACACATCATACTCCGTAACTACATCACATCATGATGGGCAACCATTAAAAGGCTCCACAGAAAGAGACAAAGCTCTTTCTTTTCTTTTTCCTTCCCCCGCAGAAAAATCTGGTAACTTGCCGCAAAAGAACTTTTTTTTTTCTCCGTCCGTCCCCAACACACACACCACCCACCCCTGTGCCGTCAAACGTGAACAAAGATAAAAAAAAGATACCGTATGAAACATATTATTAAGTTCCGGTTGCACTCACTGTCCACGAGCCACGAGGCCTGTTTGCCCTCACTCAAGGGCATATTATTATTATGCACAACATACATAACTCAATCAGCTCCAGGTCGAGATCGACCTTGACCCGAAAAGGCCATAATGACGATGGGGTGAGTGAGGTTGGTTGGAGACTTGGGAGTTGAGTTGAAACTACTCCGTAGGCATAAATAAAATAAATAAATTCATGGCGGCTTGGGTTGATCCTCGCGTCTTTGAGACCGACCGATGCAAAAAAAGAAAAAAAGGAAGGGAAAAAGAAATTAAAGCTAAGAAAGGCTGCTCAAAGCACCCACACTTTTTTAAATGATTTACTTTTTTCTTTTTTTCTTTTTTTTCTTTTTTTTTTGCAATCCATCACGACTGAAACAAGCCGAAGCGGACGAAAAGGTAAAAAAACTGGCAGTTTGTACGAGCTTGTTGGTGAGAGGTATGCGGAGGTAGGTATGCGGAGCACATCCACCGGCGCTGCAAGTGCCCAAGTGCCATCGTGCATGGATATGACGGACGGACGCGAGGGTGACGCTCTTAAGTCGTGCTTGGTGCATTTTATTTGCAAATTATTTTTATGCTTTGATGGTTGCATTTTTATACTCTTGTGCTCCGTAACTACCGCTGCACATGTACTCCCGTATGTAGGTATGTACGGAGTCCGCAGTTGTATGTGCACAGTAAGTAGTGGACGTGGGAAAAAATTTCCGTGTGTGACTAGGCTGGCCAGTTAAGAAAAAAAAAAAAAAAAAAAAAAAAGCTCGCGCTATTCTTGGTTTCCGCAGAGGCTAAGAACCGGCAGAAGGGAAAAAAAGAAAAGAGACATTGTTCAATGCATATTTTTGGTCCTTGGATCGTGGATTTGCGACGTGGTAATTATTACTTATTGGATCTATCGAGTAGTCCTCATTGTTGCTTGTTGCTTCTGCAGATGCAGAGTACAGTGTACAGTGTACACAAGTTCTGTTATATCTGCACAAACAGCACCCCCCCTATATTATTCCTCAACTACTTGTACCCATCCATTGTTAGGTGAGGGAGACTCTCCCAGGAAATTTGCCTTCGAGGCTTGTGATAAGTTAATGGAACTTTCGTGAGCCTTTATAGCAGCTGCAGATTGGGAAATGAAGAGTCTACTTTTTACAATTCTCTCAATATTCTCAACCGCTCCTCAACCACATAAACGGTCGGTAAATTCTGGTGTTAAATATCTAGAGTTAGCTATTTTGTTGACTAGATTTGCTTAGTAGACATTCTTTAGATACAATATGAGTGAGGCTATTATTATTGTTCTTCCATACTATTCAGCCAGCCTCTATCCATCTCAATGTTACCATATCTGCATTGGTTCAGTTGGAGAAAACACAGCTATCAAGAAGAAGAGATCAGATTGTCATCTATATAGCACGAGATAAAATATGACGATATAGAAATCGTATTTCATTGCCTGTCTGTCAGTGATAGAGAAATTCAGCGTTGTAGAGCCATCTTATCCATAGATAGATCCATGGATCTCATATAGAGTTGAGCCCCTCAAATGCTCAGCCCTCAAAATCCCCAACCTGTTTGCACAACAGGAGAGAGAGGATGAAAAAAGCAGTATTAAAGAGAAGGTCAAAAAATATAAAAGTTAAATAGATAAATAGATAACCATGTACTCACTCCTCACCAACTCCCGTTCGGATACGGCTCACTTCTCGTCCCCTTCTCCCACCCATTATGGATACCATCCCAATACTGCAACCGAATCGTACTCCAATCAATCCCCTGGTCCGTATCAATCGTCAACCCATTCACAACCCAAAAATACATGTCCCCATACTTCCCAAAAATGAAACAGGCGACCCCGCACGTCTGGCAGAAGTAATGGCGCATTCTCTTCTCGCCGAAGCTGTACTCGGCCAGCTCGTCAACTGTGGCCGGGGAAAGCAGCGTGATGTCCTCTCGTTTCTCTGGCCGGACGGATATCGAGCCCTTTTTGAGGCAGATGGTGCAGTTGCAGCGGCTGGGGGGGATCTGGTTGATGTCGACGTTCACGGTGTATTTCACGAAGCCGCAGTGGCAGCTGCCCGTGTAGAGCTTTTTGGACGACGGGGGCGCGGTTTCGGTTGCCATGGTGTCTTCGTTGGGCCTTTGTTCTTTTTATTGACCTAGAGTGTGATGTATGGAATGGAATGACGGCTTTGATAAATGAGTATTGTATCTCTCTATATATATATATATATATATGTTTGGATCTTTATGGGAGACGGGCGTATCTGACTTCGGTCGGCTGTGCTTCAGCGGGAAAATATAACTATTGCTCGAAAAGGTTCTCCCAGTGTCTCTGCTATATTCTCTTCTTGAAACAAATAAATGGAGAAAAAAGATTTGAATGAAGAGGGATTGCCTGCACGGGGTAATGGGACAATTATATACTCTCCGGCTGAGTGTTACTCTGGTGTCAGCAACCCGGATGGACACCCAAGTAATACTCGTACCAACTTCATTAATGTGTCCGACTGATGGTAGGGACGTCCACGAGCATCCATATGGTTCCATGCCAGGGGGTCTACAGGCTAAGAACGGGGAGCTGACAATAATGGCACCGAGATGTACATGTACATACAGTAAGTACATGTACAGTACATACACAGATAAGCTCGACAAACTAAGAGATGACATAGATACACATTGCTGCAGCCTGTTATCCTTCTGGGAGGTTTGCTTATTTTGATGCCCGAGGTCATTGGTTGAATTAATTAAACATATGGGTATATAGAATGCGAACGCACAAAGGAAAAAAGGTGTTCAGCCAAACTCCTCTCTACCAAACTACCATACACTCCAAAGTAACTCTTATCTATCTAGACTAAACCACCTATTTTTGGCTTCACTCCTTCTCCAAGACGCCTTCTCAGGCTCGACGATGACTCACCAACGGCCTGGTTTCTATAACGGTTAGGTGAGGGAGGCATCTGTGATTATTAGCGGGAAGGGAATTGATAGCAAATGCCAATGATCCTCCTTTTTTGTATTCGTTTCTATCAAGAAGAATCAAGTTGGAAGGCATCTCGGAGCTACTTGTCATATTTCTCTTTATCTTTAACCTTTGACTTTGCGAAGTCCCAAGCCTTAGGACACCAGAAGGTTGGGGGTGGTGATATAGAATCCGGTGTCAAATTTTGATTCCTGAGATTGGTTGTAGGGAATTTGATATCTAGGTCAGACGCGGTGGTAGAAGATGTGATGGAGTCCAGTCAAGCTGTCCAACGCAAAGCAATACCAGAATGTCCCTTTCTCCCACAATCTTTTCAAAAGCTCCGCATAAGAAAAGTCACATCCGACGATTGCGATGCTCCTCCCATCCCGGCCCAACATAGCTTTCTCCACCTGCTCGAAAATATCTATGTATTCAGTGCACATCTTATTGTACTGCGTTTCGTCGATCCTATATACTGCCTGACTTGTCAACCAGTATGGGGGGTGTTGCATTTCAATAGGACGAACGCAAGCCCATTCTAGGGTCAATAAGTTTCGTGATATGCTAGTTATCATCATCAACAAAGAAGTTGCTAGCATGCAAATTAGTAAGAGTAAGCACAAAAGGCCCAGAGCGTAGCTTGCGGTCAAAAAAATTAGAATATACGGTTCTCATCGTTGTCAATGCACACATCTGGCTTAATGCAATCTTTCATACTCGAGGCGCCATTTGGTTGGTAGCGTAGTCGGTTATCATGGACCGATAGAAGATCATGGATGTAAGTGTCAACAGTTGAATACGAGGTTTTACGCTGTATATCGATGGGGATGTTCTCGTTTTCAAGGTGGCAGATTTCCAACATTAACAGCCTGTTATTGATATCCAGGATGCACTCATTGTTGATTGTCAATGATCCAATGCGTGGTAATGGCTTCCGGGAGAGAATAAGTTGAATTCTAGCCAAATCGCTGAAAAGGTTGCGTCTAAGTGTTGTTTCATGACATCACTCAGCATATGACAGAGAGAGCATTTTCCCGTCCTCGACGTAGTCAAAAAGCATATAGCCAACACCAAGCCCATCAAGAGCAGAAGCCTGGTGCTTCATGTACCAGCAGGGAACAGGACACTGGAAGAGGGATAATATCTGTTTTTTAAAATATTGAAAGCATCTTGTGAAAAAGGGAGCATTTCTGATAGCTGTGAACTGCATCTATCGTTAGGCTTCTGGACACCTGCAGTATATGGTCTATTGGGTGTTCAAACTTGGCATACTTACTCGCTGTCCAGTTGACAGGCCAAAACCATGAAGAGAAGCAATTGGAATATCAGGGCATTCTTTATTAAGCCATGCATAGGTCGCCGCTTCACATCGAATTTTTTCATCCCCGTTGTCCGGCCCTGCAACCTTGTATGGGAGAGTAAAACGTATGAGTAGCCGACTACATTCCCGACCCGACCTTTGAATGGACGCTGGAACAGAGAGATTGAAGCTACCATTTAGCCATTCTGAGCGGTTGGAGATGTGTGCTTCGCATGCGACAGAAGACAGGCAGAGATGACGAGCAATAATTGCTTTGATCAGAGGGGATCTTTAGCCCAATGTGGTCTCTGAAGACGGCTGCTTTTGTCACATAGGTCAACTCCTGCAAAAAATTTATAGTCTCTTCCTTTCTTGCCTCAGAGTAAGTGAATTGCCTTCCGAGAAGGCTCCTTGTCATTGGCATGGCTGACTGTTGATTTTCAAACCAACCCAACCAGAGGTTCCACCATTCCATCCATCTGACGCTAGTCTGCGTCAAGGCGTCCAAAATCCTTAACTACTTGAATTCAGGGAACATCTTTTCAGATTTTGAATTATGATGACTAGCTGAACCATCCAATCAATTCAGTAATCAATTAGTGGCGGGAACGCTGGATGTATCGGTTACTTTTCGATAGAATACCATTTGTATCCCCATATCCTGGCTTGTCCATGATGGTTAACTACTCTTTCAAGAAATTTATGAGAATGGATATCCCCAACACCCTCCAATAGAATCCACCTTTCAGAACTCGCTCTATACTCTAGGTCATGAATCTTCCATATTAGCATTTATATCAGTTACATAAATGGTTTGTTTGGGCAGATAACCAGCGGGCAGCGGGTGATTTCTACAGGATAAGCAACTGTCCTTGTATGGCTGAATGAATGATCACATTGTTCTTATTTTTATTTTTAATTTTAATTTTCTTTTTGTAGCTCCAAAGGTTGCGGGTTAGTTTCATAGCAATAATGAGATTGAATTGTCAGAACTATCATAATCATATCATATATTAAGGATAATTACTTGTTTCTCGGAGACAAAAGATACGGGTTGATATTTTTGATGTACCTGATGCGATGTGCGTGAAAAAATCCAACCAAAAGCGGAAAAGCGTGCCAAGACATCGCTTAGCTCAGCCCACACTCGTTAATTGGGACAAAATAATCAAACCTCAACTCTGATTTTTGTCGACAGGACGGACAGACGGACAACCTCTCACCACCTCGTCAAACTAACCACAACAGGGTCAAGATGTGAGTTGCTTCCTGGGTGGCTGCCGTTGCGATGACAATTGAATCTACCAAGACGCAGAATGCTGATGTTTTTTCTTTCTGAATTACAGGAGTCACCGGAAATTCGAAGCGCCTCGGCACGGTTCGTGGGAATTCCATCCGTCCCTCTCTCATCTCGCTGGAATTTGGGAACAGTTGAAACGCAATGTGTGCGATTTTTACTGATATGCGACTTTTATAGGCTCTCTTGCCTTCCTTCCCAGGAAGCGCAGTGCCAGACACCGGGGAAAGGTCAAGAGGTTAGTCAATTTGTTGAAATTCTGGGTACGGAAGTTGTCAGCGAGGAATGGAACACTGAGAAAAATTTTGCCCAACCAAAAAACAGCTTCCCCAAGGATGACCCCAAGAAGCCAGTCCACCTTACCGCCGCCATGGGCTACAAGGCCGGAATGACCACCACCGTCCGTGATCTCGATCGTCCCGGTGCCAAGATGCACAAGAAGGAGATTGTCGAAGCTGTCACCATTGTTGAGACTCCTCCGGTAAGACTGAAGTTGCTTGTTTTATCGATTGGCGTTCGGTAGGGAATTTAACGAATCTAACACCTGTCTTTTCGTCCGCGTTTCTAGATGATTGCTGTTGGTGTTGTTGGATACATTGAGACTCCCCGTGGCCTCCGATCCCTCACAACTGTCTGGGCCGAGCACTTGAGCGACGAGGTCAAGAGACGGTTCTACAAGAACTGGTACAAGAGCAAGAAGAAGGCGTTCACCAAATACGCCAAGAACCACTCCGAGAACAGCGGTGCCTCCATCTCCCGCGAACTCGAGCGAATCAAGAAATACTGCACCGTCGTCCGTGTCCTCGCCCACACCCAGATCCGCAAGACTCCGCTCAAGCAGAAGAAGGCCCACCTCATGGAGGTCCAGGTTAACGGCGGTAGCGTTGCTGACAAGGTTGATTTCGCCCACGGCTTGTTCGAGAAGCCCATCGAGATTGACAGCGTGTTCGAGAAGGATGAGATGATTGATGTCATTGCCGTTACCAAGGGTCACGGATTCAACGGTGTCACTAGCAGATGGGGAACCAAAAAGCTTCCTCGCAAGACGCACAAGGGTCTGCGAAAGGTCGCTTGTATTGGTGCCTGGCATCCGTCCCACGTCCAATGGACTGTTGCTCGTGCTGGTCAAGACGGTTATCACCACAGAACCTCCTGCAACCACAAGATCTACCGCATCGGCAAGGGCTCTGATGAAGGTAACGCCTCGACTGAATTCGACGTCTCGAAGAAGCAGATCACACCGTAAGTTTATGACTTTCCCTCCCACATATCACTCCATACCAAGAAAAAACAAAAGCAAATACTAATAATACCCTCTGTCTAGAATGGGCGGCTTTGTCCGATACGGCGAGGTCAAGAACGACTACGTAATGATCAAGGGCTCCGTCCCCGGTGTCAAGAAGCGGGTTCTCACTCTCAGAAAGACGCTGTACCCACAAGTCAGCCGCAAGGCGTTGGAGAAGGTCGAGCTGAAATGGATCGACACCTCGTCCAAGTTCGGACACGGAGTATTCCAGACCCCAGCAGAGAAGCGGGCCTTCATGGGCACCCTCAAGAAGGATCTCGTTACTGCTGCATGAATTTCTTAATAAAAAAAAAATCAAAATATTAAAATATTCTGGTTGTTACGTTTATGCTGGCCTAGCTTTTCTGTCAGACCTTTTAGCTTTCCCCTAGTTTCTCCTCTTTATCATTTTTCTTGTCTCGATCGGTCGGTGTAGTGTGGGTGCAAATGCATATTTCTGTTTCTTATTGATCCAATCAATACTTGTTATGGTCTCCATTTCCCTTGCAATTTAGCCCTTGTGCGCTACGCCTGAACGGAACGATAAAAAGAGGAAGCTCTCATGGACAATGTATACATGTAAGTGACGATAGAAAAGGCTGGTAAGGGCTGAGATGAAGGCGGACGAAGTTTACAATAATAATAAAACATCACTGTAACCCCCGTTCAAAAAGAACGACTAGTTTTCGTGTTATGTACCGATCTGCCTCTCATGGCCATCGTAACAGATGCCAGTACTCCGTACCGTGGAACTATTTATATTGTACACACCCAACCCACCCAGCCAATGCTGACGACGTCCATATCATTTCTTGACACAATAATAGCACAATGCACTACGAGTTGTTTCTCAACTGAGCATGTCTAGTCAAATAAGAACATCATTAGTTTAAGTCTCCTTTTGCGATCGTTGCATGTCCTTGGCATTTAGTTATTGCGTCATAGCCTAGTATCGTCGTCCCTCTCGATGCTTCAAGCCAGCCGCCGCCTTTCAGCACCCAAATAAAAACCGAATAAATGAACATTTCCCCTCTTTTACGTGGAAGAACACTTCAAAAATTCAAAAGGAACCTACACCTAAGCAATTGGACCGGTGCCTCTGATGGTTGGCCTCATGCCAATAGTCCCGTCGACCCATGCAACGTGAACAACACAGAAATATCCTGCCATGAAGCTCGACCAAGCAGTGATAGACCTCCTCAGTCTAGACACAGCAAATACCATAGTAAGCCGCGCTGGGGGTGGCTGCAGCAGCGCGTCTGCTGCTAAAATAACTACAAAACTCGCGGATGGAACTGAAAAACGCTTCTTCATGAAGACCGCAACGGGAGAGGAGGGGAAGGTAATGGTGCAAGGTAGTAACTAATAAACCCCCCCTCCCGGGCATTCCATATACTATACTTACAGTACAATTGAAATCATTCCTTATTTCTCCTTTTAACTCCCCCCCCACGAGAAGCCACCCATACAAAAGCATAAGAAAATCACACATAACTAAGCCCAAAAATAACAGGTGAAGACGCCTCCTTAAAAGCCATCCACGCCGTCGTACCGACTCTCTGCCCCCAATCATTCGGCTGGGGAGCCTTCTCCTCCCCTTCATCACCGCCAACTTATTTCCTAGTCGTCGAATTCCTCGACCCATCCTCACCCCGCAACGGCAGCCCAGACACATCCCACCATCAACAAGAACCTCGCAAATCCCTCGCAGAGAAGCTAGCACAGCTACACACAACCCCAGCTCCCGTGCCCGACGGCTACTCCGCGCCTCAATTCGGCTTCCCCGTCCCAACCTGCTGCGGCGACACGGCACAGGATAACTCCTACAGATCCTCCTGGGCCTCCTTTTACGCCGAGAACCGGCTCCGCTTCATCCTACAGCGTGCCGAGGCGGGGAACGATTTGGGCGGCCAACGTGATGGCGAGTTACGGCGGTTGGTGGAGCGGACGATAGCGCAGGTTGTACCGCGGCTATTGGGGGATGAGCATCTGAATAAGGGGCGCGGGGTGACGCCGGTGGTTGTGCATGGGGATCTTTGGTCTGGGAATGCGGGGCGAGGGAGTCTGGGGGGAAGAAAGGTTGAGGAGGTGATATTTGACCCGTCGGCGTTTTATGGGCATAGCGAGTATGAGCTGGGAATTATGAGGATGTTTGGAGGGTTTGGGGGTCGGTTTTTGGAGGAGTATCATGAGCTGTGTCCAAAGACGGAGCCGGTGGAGGAGTATAAAGATCGGGTTGCTTTGTATGAATTGTAAGTTGTTTTTACTTTTTTTTATTTTTTTTTTTATTTTACCTTCCCTTTCTACTTGGAATCTCTATGGGATAACTAGATAGAGTTGACTTTGGAGGGAATTGACTGATTGTTTTGGCTGCGCAGGTATCATCAGCTCAATCATTATGCGCTATTTGGGGGCTCGTACCGATCCGGGGCAATGCGGATTATGGAGGAGCTGCTACAGAAATATGGATCTTGAGAAATCCACTAGCTAGCTTGGATTGTCAATTAGACAATTTTTGGAAGATTTTTCTACTGCAATTACTTTGTGCTTGAACACTTGTAATTCTGTTCTATTTTTCAGGACTGAATCAACCGTTGGAATGATCGCGCGATGACCTCATAGCGCTGTGGAATCACATGACCTGTCTTTCGTTCAAGCAAAGAGTAAATAAACAGCATCCAGTTAGTATCCATTGACTCTATAAACATTGAAAAGGGTGCTCTAAAAGGCACTGAAGGAAGAAAGGAATGAGGAACCAACTTCCGAGATCCTTAAGAATAAAACCCCGCTTCATCCACCACTGCATCAGTATAAAACAGGGACCAACGCCGCGCAGGCAATTCCCCGCGCCATCCTCACAGCAGCTTCACCTCCACCACGTCATTGGACTCTGCCGTCACATTTCCCTCTCCTCACCCATATACCGCAACCACAGCCCACCGGCCAATCCCCCTTCCTCACCTCTTCCATCGTCGTCACCATCATCATCATCATCATCATCAGAAACAAAAAGCACAATAATGTCCTCCGACGACGCCTACGCCGCCTTCCTGGACAAGGCAAACGAAGACCCCTGCAAAGATACCCCAGCAACAAATCAGCAACAGGAAGGTTTTGTACAGACAAAAACTACAGATGCGGCTGCGGCCGTCCCCACCGTCCTCCGCGACGTGGAGATGTACTATACCTCCGACACAGACGAGGTCTTCGAGCCTGTTGCGCTGGACTGTAGCGGGGCGGCGCAGGGTCGGTGGCCGAGTGCTGGTATGTTTTTGGTTCTTCTCTCTTCCGGCTTCTTCGTTTGTATAATATATATATATATATATATGCATTTTTTACGATATATGACATATGTAAATCTAAACTAACCGCCCCGAAAAACAGACGAATTCAAATCCCTCATCCTCCCCAGCTCCTCCGCGGCAGAAACAGCAGACATGCAAATAACAATCCTAACCCCTTCATCCTTCGATCCGAAAAACCAATACGCTACGGTCCTGCATGCGGTGAAGATGGCGGCGGGGGGGGGCGGGAACGAGCAGGATATGGAAAGGGTGGAGGTGAAGGTGTATCGGGTGCAGATGGGTCGGACGAGAGTGGAGTATTGGGTTGTTGGACTGGATAGGAGTGGGAATGGGGGAAGGATTGTGGGGTTGAGGGCAAAGGCGGTTGAGAGTTAGAGAATTCGGGAGGGCTAGAGATAATGGGTTGGATCAGATTTGGATTGAAGGGTTTGTAAAATTATATAGTAACTAACTAAATCCCTGTATGATTGAAATATCTATTTAGCGAAGGGAAATAATGCTAGTTATGATTACGGATATGGGATATTAATTAGTACAGTACTACTTCGAGGGTAATTGGGAATGTTTCCCCTTATCCTGATTTCAGTATGATATTCCATTCCAGTGTATCCTGTAGTATCTTATCGAACCTACTAAATAATCCAGGGAGGAAAAATCACAATATACTGAAAACTGGCTGATGGTCAATAGATTCTAGCCCGCACAATGACTTATACCCCCGCAATGCGTGTTATGGGGCAGGTTCAGTCCAACAAATATTTATCTGTAGAACCAACAACTTTTGGCCCCGTTACTCTCGCTCCGCTCATCTTCCCTAGTTGGCAATTCTCTTCCCTTTCCAGCCGCCCCTACTCGCTCCCACGGTATCCTCCCTCTCTCTAGCCTGAAGGAAACCATAATATTGTTGAGCTTCTCGGTCAAGCTATGGAAGTAGATCTAGCGCTTGCCAGGAATAAGGGGTACCGTACCGTCTGTCAGTCGAAATGAGCATCCCCCTTCTTAGCACACATAAGCATGGCTGATCGTGTTTGCGATGCTTTGGCGTGACTGGCACCATCACTGACTGCTTGTTGGGGGCTTGTGCACCCGCTTGTGCAAAACTTTCCAAAATGTCCCTTTAGAAAATCTCGATGGTGATAGAGAAGCTCGATGGTTTGTTACCCTCTCGTTGGTCTCCTTTTAATTCTCTGGCTTCAGTGGTCCGTCGATCTTCGACCATCGGCATTCTCATAAATATGCGAGGTGGTCAGATACCATGACCTATGAGGCGCTGTTGGAATTCACATTTAGAAGCTGTGATAGTGGCCTGTTCAGCACGAAATTGTAAGCCCGTCCAACAAAATAGGGAACCAATGAGAATTGACCAGTTTACAGCGTAAGTTCTCGACAAAAGTTTCGATAGACGTCATCATCATGGACTGACTGACTCTCTTAGAGTTGCCTAAATTCCATTATCGCGGGGGAGAGGCGCGATTACCTAATCCTCCCCTCCCTCTTTTTGCGGGTATGTAATGTATGTACTGTACAATACATACATTACAGTACTATGGTTGCGACCTCTGTCTGCAGTATGTATGGTATGGTTGATAGGAAAATGTGAAGGATCCATGGCGCGGATGGAGTACTCTGAACACCAAACAGTGGGATCGTTAACTTTATATATCTGAGTGCGGTGTGGCAGACAGCGGATGGGATGTTAGGGCTACCTCCATGAAATAATAGCGAAGAAACCGCCGGCTTCCGCGTCATTGATCGAGTTTGACATATTCGGTCTTTATTGGCAACATAACATGCTCCACGCTCCACGCCTGAAACATCCTGTTTGGGGGAGGACGAGGGGGAGGTGATATTTATTTTACGCTGGCTTTGGTGGAGCAAGATCGCAGGAAGTTTTTCATTCTTGCTAATGTGGCAGTTAATTAACATTTTTTTACTGTTGGAAACCAGACCCCTGATCTCCGTGGGTTGAACCTTGCTGATGTCACTGTCT